TGGACCGAGCCTTCTGAACCCTGAGGACCGAGCCTTCTGAACCCTGAAGACCAAACCTTCTGAACCCTGAGAACCACGCCTTCTGAACTCTGAGGACCGAGCCTTCTGAACCCTGAGAACCGCGCCCTCTGAACCCTGAGGACCGAGCCTTCTGAACCCTGAGAACCGCGCCCTCTGAACCCTGAGGACCAAGCCTTCTGAACCCTGAAGACCAAACCTTCTGAACCCTGAGAACCACGCCTTCTGAACTCTGAGGACCGAGCCTTCTGAACCCTGAGAACCGCGCCCTCTGAACCCTGAGGACCGAGCCTTCTGAACCCTGAGAACCGCGCCCTCTGAACCCTGAGGACCAAGCCTTCTGAACCCTGTGGACCGAGCCTTCTGAACCCTGAGAACCGAGCCTTCTGAACCCTGAGAACCGCGCCCTCTGAACCCTGAGGACCGAGCCTTCTGAACCCTGAGAACCGCGCCCTCTGAACCCTGAGGACCAAGCCTTCTGAACCCTGTGGACCGAGCCTTCTGAACCCTGAGAACCGAGCCTTCTGAACCCTGAGAACCGAGCCTTCTGAACCCTGGGGCTCGAGCCTTCTGAACCCTGAGAACCGAGCCTTTTGAACCCTGAGGACCGAGCCTTCTGAACCCTGAGGACTGAGCCTTTGCTGTAGCTGCCCCCACTCTGGAACTTACTCCCACAACATCAGGAACTTCAAATCACTGGTCAAAACCCACCTGTTCAAATCTGCCTATAATTAGCTGTATAGTTTAGCATTTGATATATTTATTTTAGTTTCTTATTAACCCATCCCTTTGTAAAGCGTCTTTGAGTGTCCAAAAATGCACTGTACATTTACCATGTATTATTACTACAAAACATGTCACAATCTTTCTGAACTACGGGCACCACAAGCAGGTCTCAACCACCGGGGCTTCTACAGGCTCCCATGGGTGCAGAGACCTCCCATGGGTGCATAGAGGCCTGGGTGATGAGGTCTGGGCCTGACAGCTGCTGTGGTGCGCTGCATGATAACCTCCACACGTCAGCCTCACAGGACGGGGCTATTTATAACTGAGTCGAACAGACTTTTGTGTTCAGCATGTGATGTAAAAATGCATCAATGTGTCTCTGTAACATGTTTTCTATCTTGGAGCTTTGAAACATGTATAAACTGCTAAATGTAGGATTACTTAAAGATATTGCTGCCTCTTTTATGAGGGGACAAGTAAATTACTGGATATCTTCCAAGATTAACATTCTCGCTTGGAATGAGTAAATCAGTGAACATCTTTTTAACCATGTGAAGCATTAATTCAATTCCATTAAATTCCATTTGTGTATCGCCCTAAATCACAACAGCAGTCTCTCGCAGGACTTTGCAAAGTTGGTGATTTGCCAACAGGTCAGAAAATTAAACAATTAACTCACGAACTGCAATAAGAACAAACATATTGGAGCCATTGGTCCACAGGGAGCAGGGGGACCACAGTCCAGAAATGTTCTTAAATGTCCTGAATCATCCCTGTCCTTAGACCGTCCTGCTTCGGCATGGAACCACTCAAATAACTCAGTGGAGAAAAGCAAGGGTTGGATCTGCTCCCATGGACAGGCTGTAGATCCAAGTCGGAGAATGTCGATCCAGGATTCAATAATTATTTTTCTTGAATCAATGAAACCAAAAAGTATGCATGCCTCTCACAGCCAAGAAATGCGAACTCGTGAGTTGCTTGGAGACTCGTCCCTAAAGCCTCAGACTCGACTCAGTCTTGTGCTTTTGGGACTCATAAGGATGTGATCAGTCTTATCTGTGTCTGTCAGGGTTATTTGAATCCAACATTAAAACGATGAAAAGACAAGCTCAACTAAAACTCTCTCAATTAAAGCCTACATTTATTTTGATTGTAGATTTTGTCTGTCCAAACAGCATCAGACTGTGGACAGAATGTAAAGGGTTTTTATCATTTAAATCAGTCGCATGGCATTTGTCTGATTTCATTTGATATTTGTTAGTGATTGTTTTGTTGTATAGAGCCCTAATTTGAATCTGTGTAAAATTATGGGACTTGGACTTGACTTTTACCTGAGTTGGACTTGCAGGTTTAGAGACTTATGAGCATCAGCCCGGAAACACAGGCCTGTTTTCACCAGCTCTTCTCTACTCCACTCTACTCTTCATTGATTGGGAATGTTTCCACTGGCAGTGTTTAACCAGTACCAGGTCCTTCTTTAGTCCATTTTGGCCCTGGTTCTATCAAAGGCAGAGTTGATACTAAAGTGTTCTAACAGTGATTATCCAGAGTGCTGTTGGAAACTGGTTTGTTGTGGGAAGGTTTCTAGTAGTTTAAACACAATGAGGTAGCCTAGAGCTGAGTAGAGTAGGGCCAAGTCGGGCTGGCGAGAACCAGGCTGTGCTTTCTGGACTCCTGAAGAGGACAACTGCTGTGGCTTTGACCTTTGCCCGTTGTAGCTGAACCCCACTGAGATCACATGTCGTTACAAACAACGTCGCTCCGCATCAGCTGCAGAAACATGAAGCAGTGATAACTCTTCATGTTGGAGAATAAAACAGCAGGAGTCAGTCCAGTGCAGTTACCAACACCCCAGGAAAAAATAAAGTCAAAGTCTACAGGCCAGTTACAAAGCCAGTTTTTGTAGTGTTATATCCAAATAGCTAATAGTTTATTAGTGCAAAAAGTAGGCATTTTTTACATTTACTACATCACTTTTTGGAGCTACTTTGAAAAGTGTGGTGAGATACTTGTAGCACTGAAGCCCCTGAGCTACAGGTTGGTAGCTACCCATGCTCTATGTAGATCCACGCTAATAACAGTCTTCCCCCACTCCTTAAAAACTCCTTAAAACGGTTCTTTTCAAACTAGTTGATATTCCACTCTATGACATTAAGAACAGAACTGTTTCTGTCTTTTAAAATGAAAGTCAGTTTGGAATCCAAGCGTCGGTTAGACCTGCCCCCACAGGCTCCGGATTGGACCCAATGAATCCATACCCCTGATGGAGAGCGGAGATGAGAAATAGTTTCTCTTCTGTTGTTGAGATTTACGACCCCCAATACAAGAACAATATAAAAACGTCAGTAGAAAGGTAACAATATGGCACACAACACACAGACTCAAACACTCTCTGACCCGACACCCTCTCCCAGGTGTGATTTAGAGCGGCTCCAAACGTATTACATTATGATGATTAAAATGAAAGATAGAGAGAGATCAAGGAGAGAGACCACCGAGACCTAGAGAGCCAGACCTGCGAGGGACAAAAGAGAGACCAGAAACAAAGACAAGCGAATATATGTGGGTCGTATATTCTCACTATCCAGTTTTTTTAACCCACAAAACAAAAGAAAAACAACACAATTATTCAGTTTGTTGTTAGTGGGACACAGCAGGTATCGCATCAGTCTGCGGCCTCAGAGGACACACAGGACGCAGCGCTTTAAATAACAGCCCAGCCCCCAGCACTGATCCCTGAGGGGCACCTGTGTGTGTGTGTGTGTGAGTGTGTGTGTCTCTGAGTTTGTGTGTGTGTGTGTGCCTGTGTGGGCCTTTGTATATGTGTATGTGTGTGTCTCTGAGCGTGTGTGTGTGTGTGTGTGTGTGTGTGTGTGTGTGTGTATTTGTTTGTTCATTTGTGTGTGTTTCACAGGTCCTCATTGTTCAGTGTGTGATTGATAAAGCTGGTTGTTGGTGTAAGATGGAGATTGTGTGGTACATATATTCCGGCGCTGCGGGACGCTCACGTCTGAGGCCAGTGACAAATGGACAGAGTGCGGCTAATGTTTTTGGAAAAGCATTTACAGAGATGAACTGAAGCCCCGCGGCGGTGATACACTGAAAGCAAATTAGGATGAGAACACACGACAACAGAGAAGTCATAAAAACAAGCAGTAATTAGTTTGGTGCTCTGATGCTTTAGTGGGATTTTAGTGTCCCATGGCCTCAACTGTTTTTGTATTGAAATCCATTGTTTTATTACAAATCCACACTTGTGCCACAAACACGGCTCGCTCTAACTCTCTAATCCTCTGTGATCTGGTCTCTCTCTCTGGTCTTCTCTCTTGCCTTTGCCTCTGGTCTCTTTCTGGCCATTCTCTCTGGTCTCTCTCTCTGTTCTCTCTCTGTTCTCTCTCTCTGGTGTCTCTCTGTTCTCTCTCTCTGGCCTCTCTGGTGTCTCTCTGGTCTCTCTCCCTGGTCTCTCTCTGGTCTCTCTCTGGTCTCTCTCCCTGGTCTCTCTCTCTGGTGTCTCTCTGGTCTCTCTCCTTGGTCTCTCTCCCTGGTCTCTCTCTCTGGTCTCTCTCTCTGGCCTCTATGGTGTCTCTCTGGTCTCTCTCTGGTCTCTCTCCCTGGTCTCTCTCTCTGGCCTCTATGGTGTCTCTCTGGACTCTCTCTGGTCTCTCTCCCTGGTCTCTCTCTCTGGTGTCTCTCTGGTCTCTCTCCCTGGTCTCTCTCTCTGGTCTCTCTCTGGTCTCTCTCTCTGGCCTTTATGGTGTCTCTCTGGTCTCTCTCCCTGGTCTCTCTCTCTGGTCTCTCTCTGGTCTCTCTCTCTGGTCTCTCTCTGGTCTCTCTCTGGTCTCTCTCTGGTCTCTCTCCCTGGTCTCTCTCTCTGGTCTCTCTCTGGTCTCTCTCCCTGGTCTCTCTCCCTGGTTTCTCTCTCTGGTCTCTCTCTGGTCTCTCGCTCCACTCTGATCACTGGCGCTGGTCCAGTGCACCTACTGCGCAAGACCAGGAGAACCAGAGCTGAGCACAAGTCATTGGTTCTGAATGGACAGACATATTGGAGATCACTGTTGCGTGTCCTTGGGCAAGACACTTAACCCTCCTCGCCCTTAGAATCTGCGCACATTGGTGTTTGAGTGAATGAGTGGTTCCTTGATGAAAAGTGTGCCTTGAAAATGTTGAAAAGGTGCTATATATTTTCATATTTATGTATCTATATATTTATTTAGACAGTTGAGCCTCTGCTGACCCCTGTGTTCCTGTGTGTGTAGGGGGGACCGCGGACCCTCGCTCGGCCCTCAGTACCGACTGCAGCTGGAGGAGTGTGTGTGTGCGGATCAGGAGCCCAGCCCAGAGCTCATCCAGGGATATGTCAAGAAGGTTATTTTAACTGAATTTCATTTTCATTTGTTGATAAACTTGTTTTTACTAACATCACAAATATAGACTGGTCCTGACCCTGATTATTGGGATAACCGATATCACAATTTCTATATCTGGTACAGCCGTCTTCCCTGTTATTAATAACAAAAAGAACGTCAAATAGAATGTCATCTGGTCTCTCTCTGTTCTCTCTCTCTCTTTGGTTTCTCTTTGGTCTCTCTCTCTCTGGTCTCTCTCTCTCTAGTCTAGTGTCTCTGGTCTCTCTCTGGTCGCTCTAGTCTCTCTGATCTCTCTCTAGTCTCTCTCCCTTCAGTCTCTCTCTCTGGTCTCTCTTTGGTCTCTCGCTTTGGTCTCTCTCTGGTCTCTCTCTGGTCTCTCTCTCTGGTCTCTCTGATCTCTCTCTAGTCTCTCTGGTCTCTCACCGATCTCTTTTAGTTAACACCTCTGTCGTCTTCCCGCAGCACATCCAGGACGCCGCAGACCAGGGCGTGATGTTCGTGGGCTTCATCCAGGAGGCTCAGGGCGCCCCCAGCAGGAGGGAGGCGGACCTGCGCTCTCTGTCTCTCTCTCTGTCTCTGTCTCTGCACTCCAGCCCCAGCTCCGTCCTGGGCTCCCTCAACAGCAGCCCCCCCCACAGCCCTCCTGAGAGGGACAGACCGGCAGAAGGACGAGAGGATGAGGAGGAGAGGAGCGCCACCTGCAGGTCGGAGGAAGGAACGCCAAGACTCAACAACAACGCCACAGATGCCAAGGAGGGGCCACGCCCACAACGCCAGAGCCACGGTGAGTGCTGAAAATAAACATGCTGTCTTTATCTTATTAGAAAACACGTCAAATAGTGTGAGTCGCTATTGACACATTGAGCTGAGAGCTGATTGGCTGATTGAAGGTGGTCTTCTCGTTTTAACTTTTCGGGCTGAAAAAGCTGGTTCAATTAATTATTGTGTTTGGTCTCTTTCTGGTCTCTCTCTCTGGTCTCTCTCTCTGGTCTCTCTCTGGTCTCTCTCTGGTCTCTCTCTGGTCTCTCTCTCTGGTCTCTCTCTGGTTTCTCTCTGGTCTCTCTCTGGTCTCTCTCTGGTCTCTCTCTGGTCTCTCTCTCTGGTCTCTCTCTGGTCTCTCTCTGGTCTCTCTCTCTGGTCTCTCTCTGGTCTCTCTCTGGTCTCTCTCTGGTTTCTCTCTGGTCTCTCTCTGGTCTCTCTCTGGTCTCTCTCTGGTCTCTCTCTGGTCTCTCTCTGGTTTCTCTCTGGTCTCTCTCTGGTCTCTCTCTGGTCTCTCTCTGGTCTCTCTCTGGTCTCTCTCTGGTTTCTCTCTGGTCTCTCTCTGGTCTCTCTCTGGTCTCTCTCTGGTCTCTCTCTCTGGTCTCTCTCTGGTCTCTCTCTGGTCTCTCTCTGGTCTCTCTCTGGTCTCTCTCTGGTCTCTCTCTGGTTTCTCTCTGGTCTCTCTCTGGTTTCTCTCTGGTCTCTCTCTGGTCTCTCTCTGGTCTCTCTCTGGTCTCTCTCTGGTCTCTCTCTGGTCTCTCTCGGGTCTCTCTCTGGCCTCTCTTTGATGGTCTGCTCATAAGACAACACAATGCTCTTATTTCCACGGAGCACAGGACGTGACCAGGAGCCACACGGCAACGGTGAGTGTGCCCTTAGCAACCGGCACAACTAAAAATAACAGCAACTGGGTCAACGAGAAACATTCAATAAATCAAGAGAAAATTAGATGATGGAGAAAGACCGGAGCCGTCACAGCAGCCCAGTGTGTGAGCTGGGGGATACTGAAACGGTAATTAAAGCTGGGTTACGTAACTTTTAGGCCACAAAAACGCACTAAAATACACGTACCTAGTTCCTCGCTATCACTAATTTTCATATAATGTGTTTTTTGGCCTCAGTGCCGAGGCGACAGTGGCTCTGTTGGTAGAGTATTGGCCTTTGAACCAGAAGGTCGTGGTTTTGAGCCCACTTCAAGACTTTCACCATTGACTCCCTCTGTCTGCTGTTGTTGTGTCCTTGGCAAGACACTTAACCTCTGGGAACACCAGCCACAGTGGGGCGGCTGCAGCTGTAAAGTGCCAAACTGCCGTTGTGTCCTTAGGCAAGACGCTTCACCCCCATTGCCTAGAATGAGTCTGATGTGTGTGTGAATGGTTGGTGGTGGTGGGAGGGGCCGATGGCACAGACTGGTTGCCTCGTTTCTGTCGCTATGCCCCAGGGCAGCTGTGGCTACAGTAGTAGTTCATCACCACCGTGTTTGGAATGAATGAATGAATAATGACATGTAAAGCGTCTTTGAGTGTCCAAAAAAGTTCTATATAAAACCGATGCATTATTATTATTATTAGCTCAGCTTTTTAACACAGAAAAGTGAAAAAGAGAGGACCACCCTTGCTCAGCCAATCAGCTCTCAGCCCAAACAGTTAGAGAGTGGCTCACAGGGCTCTTAATTACAAGTATACAGAAAAAAACATGTCTTCTAATAAGGTGGAGACACTCTAATGTGATGGGAGACCAAACTGTGGTTGTGTCCTTAGGCAAGACACTTCACCCACATCAGAATGAGTCTGGTGTGTGTGTGAATGCTTGGTGGTGGTGGGAGGGGCCAATGGCACAGACTGGTTGCCTCGCTTATGTCAGTGTGCCCCAGGGCAGCTGTGGCTACAGACACTGTGTATGGAGTGAAAGTATAAGGCTGTGAAACGTATTTGAGTGTCCAAAAAAAAGTGCTGTATAAAACCCATTTATCATTATTTGCATATTAAGTATATTGTAGTAGTTTTGGAATGATTGGTTTACTTTTTACTTTTACTTTACATCTTTCCTGAAATAATAAAGTTAGGTCACCCAAGCTATAAGTTTGTGTTCATTTGAATTCATTCTACTTAATATTTCCATTTTAAACTATTGATAGTGGGTAAAAACAGATGCCGGTGTAATCCCAGCTCTGGGGCCTGTCCTCGTGCTATAATCCTTTACACATTTACATTTCAGAAACGTCCAACGAGGAACTGAACTGAAATGAGACTTTAGATCTGACGGCTGTGACTTTACACAAGAAACAGGGGTTTGTGTCCAGGGGAAAAGCTCTGAGCTCTTTAAGTCCTCAGCTCAAACTGATCCTTTAAACATGGCTGATTTTAAATGCTTTTTCATACAAATATCTATAAAAGCGAGAATGACTTGAGCAACATTCTACCTTTGTCATAAATGGAATCAATGGTGTGTTTTTGATTGTTGTTAAGCGCTTCTAGAGACGGTCAGTGAAGATTAGCCTTAGCTATATGTACACTGGTGAGTCCTGGAGGTGACACCGTCTGTGAAAGGCGCTTTATGGAGAAAAATTACTTACTCACTTACATTTCCCTACAGAGATAATAAAGTAAGCTTAAAAGAGACATTGCAAATTAATAAATGCAACTTTGGCCAATATATGCATGTTGTACCCCGTTGTGGAGGTGGTGACTGTAAAGGGCAGACGTTGGTAAACTGTTCCTCCTGAGGGCCACATTATCGGCCTACTGTCAGGAGCCGGACCTGCTTATTTCCAATGTTATTTTCAGGCTCAATTATTTACTCATAAATGTATTATATTAAATATTCGGGCATGAGAATTTTCCGCAGATCCACAAAATTCAGATTTTTTTTCCCACAGAAAATTGAATATTTGTGAAACGTGTAAATTAGTTGTGAAATGTTTGAGAGGGGCGCACGTGACCGCAGGGCACTTGCTGTTGTTTGCTGTATACGTACTCGAAAGGGATTCCACATCCTCCTGCAGCGTTCTGACCCCAGAGTAACTGCGGCTGCTTTGTAAAGATGGCAGCTCCTGTGACAACAGCTCAGCAGACGTCCTGGAGAATGAATGGGACTGAACGACCATTCCTGCTTGTTCCAAGTGCGTGTTTTTGCGCAACCTGTGCACACAATAAACTCTGCTTCAAGACACAGAGCTGGACTATGGAGCCACAGGAAGTCTCCATGTCTCCTTAGAAGCACTGAAACTAAAACTCACAAAAGTAAAGCTGGGGTACCTACATTTTCCCTTGCATTAACAATGCATGTTGGTTGTGCCCAAAAGTTAAATGTTGTGAACAAATCAAAACAGACTGTCTTCTTTTTTGTCTGTGTTTTTTTTTGTGGCATAATTAAGAGCCTTGTGAGTCATTATTAGAATTTTTGGGCTGAGAGTGGATTATCTTCTACAAGAAGTGAGATGACAAGTGCCGGAGAAACAATCTATACACTAAGCTTTATTTCTATAACTACTGCCATTAGATATTTATTTCCACACAGAATACAATTGTTTGCAAATATATCAGAAGATTGTGTTGGATAGTTCAAGCTCAGGGGCCTGAGCTCAAAGGGCCGCCTCTGGCCCGCGGGCCGGGGATCACCCACCACTGCCATTGGCTGACTATCTGAATATGGCACTAATGTCGAAGATATTAAACATTTGTCATCCAGCCAACTTCAGCTCCATCAAGTGTGAATCAATCATACTTTGTTTAAAATCCTCGAACCACTGAAATCAGTTTTACAATCCGTGTTGTCAGGCCTTGGACAATTTTTGCGGCCATGAAGTGGCCCTCGTATTAAATAGTTTGGACACCCCTGCGCTGCTGTCAGCCAAATCTGAGTCACTTTTAATTGTCGAGCAGAAACTAAACCTGGAACAGTGCGAGTGTGTCGCAGCCCAGAGGAGGAGGTTATCAGCCACAGAGCAGAGGAGATAAGGACAGATCTCAGCCTGGAGCACACTCCTCTTCAGCTCCACAGCTTTTTCATTAAGCAAACCAAAGCCAGACTGAAGTTACAGCCGTTATATGTTATAATAGAACATATGGCAATGTGCCAAGCTTGTAGAATTGTATTTCCGTTGGAGGGCAGCTGCCAGACCTGGTCCTGATTATAAAACATATATATAAAATTAAAACATATTATTCTTCTGTCTTTCTACTGGCCAACATCATGCAGCGAGAGACGAGAGAGAAACCAGAGAGACCAGGGAGAGAGAGAAACTGTTATGTTCCCAAACTACTAAAATAGTATAGGACAAGATATTGTTGTTATATCAGGAGTGGAGGACTAACCGAGTGCCATCACCAAATGTGGAAGAAGCCGACTTGAACACAAGCTAGCTGGAGCAAATTTGCTTATATGGACATTTGTTCTGACGGCTTTATAGAAATTGGCAAAGGCAAGCGGGAGTTTCCCACTCACATCTGATATGGCTCATATCTGGATTTAGAAAGACAATATCATAATATAAACACTGTAGGATCACAGAGGCTATACCATGTATTTGCGTAGGTTTCCTCCGGGTACTCCGATTTCTCCTACCACTAAAATATTCGGCGACCCCGCTCCCATCTCTGTGTGGAGTGAGAGGACAAGTGCCCAAAAATAACAATTGTAAACCACTTTGTGACTCTGGTCTGTGAAAGGCGGTTTATAAATAAAGATTACTTACTTACTTTGTAAGCCCAAAACGGTTACTGAGCCAGAGGATTTCACTTTTACATGTAAGCAGTGGCAGCCATTGACAATCACACAAGAAGTAACGAGGAGGAGAGTGACACTTGTACCCATGACAACAGCTGCGTTAGCGAGCATGAGTGGCCAGCATGTTGGTCACTGGCACAAGTCCAGTTTTTCTCCAAAAATACATCTTTTAAACCACTGCATGTAAGTTAAGGAGCCAGAGAGAGAGCACTTTCCTATTTAGCTTCAGTGGTCTACGGAGTAGGGCTGAGCAGTATGGGCGATTTTATATCTCGATATACAATGTATAACAATATTTTTACTGAATGAATAACCCTCCAGAAACTACTGCAAATACAAACATGCCAATTAATAAAGCCTTTTTCTAATTGAACCTCAAAGAGGAGTTCAAGTTGGACAAAGGGCTTCTGTCGTCTTTGTTTTAATTTCCTGTTTTTGAAGAAATTATACATATTGCCTTATCTTCATTCAACAATGACTCAACTCAATGTGCATACAGGAACAAAGTGCAACATTTAAGATGAAAAAAACCCTGATTACATTTTTAGAAAGTAACTTGTTCCAATTCAGCCGCTTTCTCCATAGTGTACAGCCGTGGGAGTAATGCCTCGACTCTAATCTGTGGTGAAACACCTCACTGTTATCACAGAGTCAGGGTTATGTTAAGTAACCTCCATCCATCCATTTTCTTCCCCTTAATCCATTTCTGGGTCGGGGGTGGCAGTCAGAGCTGCACCCAGTACACAGAGCACCAGCCCCTCGTTCATCCTCCTGCAGGTGGTGAGTCCACAGGAGCCTTGATCTTTCAGCGGGGGCTTCAGGCAAAGTGGGGTTTAGGTCTTGCCCAAGGGCACAACAACAGTCATCAGTGGGAGTCGTGAAGTAGGTCCTACAGTGGGCTCGAACCCACGACCTTCAGGGTCTCATTTATAGATGCCTACAGTATAAAGTTTACAGTCTCAGGTATAAAGCCACGCTGTATAAAATGCCAAGGACTGACGCTACACCACCTTTTGTCATGATCTACGTGTTTTTTAGAGTTTGTTTCCTCTGAAGATGTGTCAAGTGAGATAGAGCCAGTGTCTCAATATTGTGAAAAAGCTTATCGTTAAAGTTACTTTCGCCATATTAAATTCTATAATTATCGCCCACCCCTAATGACAGGTTAGTGTTGTCCATCTATGTACAGTCTATGCTGTCAACCTGAAATAGGCTTTTATTATATTTGGATGTTTAAGCTGTGCTAGTATTTTATTTCTTATTTATAGAAAAGGAGTTAATCTTCTTGAAAGCTGAAAAGAGAAGTACTATCCATCCTGGCTCCTCACATCAGCCTGTGTCTGCGGCGATGTCCCTGACAGTAAATTAATTCTAATCCCTGAATCCCTTTGTTGAACGCTGCAGAGATAGTGCTAATTAGTCCTGGTCCAGTTGTGAGTTGTGCTTGGTCAGCGCAGAGACGTCTGCAGAGTGACCACAGAGAGTCCAAGGACAGAGGAGGACGTAGCACACTTTCAATTCAATTCACTTCAACATATCCAAGTGTATCACCAACAACAGATCAGAGAATCAATCAGTTCGAACACAGGACACGCAATAATAACATGCAACATAGAGAGACCAGAGAAACCAAAGAGAGAGAGAGAGACCAGTGAGAGAGAAACCAAAGAGAGAGAGAGACCAGTGAGAGAGAAACCAAAGAGAGAGAGAGACCAGTGAGAGAGAAACCAAAGAGAAAGAGACCAGGGAGAGCGAGAGAAACTTGAGAGTGACCAGAAAGACTTTTGGACCAACAGGAGTCATGGGTTCATAGGGGTGACCAATGTCCATAAATGTTAATAAATGTAAATGTAAAAATAGATCCAACAACTTCTACAAGGACTCACATTGTTGACAGTTGACAGTTTTATGAAAACTATTCAAAAGAGACCCTCATTTCAACAGTTTTTGACTCGATTTGACTCTAAACAAACAAAACCCGCGTGGCATTGACTTAGCACCTTTTAATGAGACCCAAGGAGAGGCTCTTCCTCACTGCATTACTCATCCAAACCACACAAGTCTAAATACTGACTCTGAAAACTGTGGTTGAAAGTGAGGCTGTCTCTCAGGGAACAACAACACCACACGTTCTCTTTGTTAAGACCTTTGGGGTGTTTTCGTACCTGACAGTTTGTATCGCTTGTGCACAGTCTTCCTCAGAGTGGAAAGGCAAGGCAGCTTTATTTGATTAGCACAATTCAAAGGTGTCAAAGTCAAGGCCCGGGGGCCAGATCCGGCCCGCGAGACCATTTCCAGTGGCCCTTGAGATGATTTTAAATTATTGTATTAAATAGCAGCATAAATGGTAATAGGCCAAAATGGCATGTTATCCATCACTAAGAAAACAACCAAAACTCTCTGGTCTTATTTGACGAGCACAAATCACGAGAATGATTGACAATTGGGAGAAGCAATAGTCTTGATGATCCACCCGGAAGTAGAAAATCCTCCTTTATACCTTAAATATTTGGTCCAGTTTTGGTTCAGTCCACAGTAACTGAACTAATTCTAATCAGAAAAGAATGTCCAATCCAACTAATGTGAAACAAATCATTTATTTAGATACCTTCATATTCCATTTTTTTAAATAAATGAAACCCATAAATTTTTTCGGCCCCTGACCAACTCTTTCTTTTTCTAATTGGCCCTCAATCAAAATAAGTTTGACTGGCACAATTCATACACAAGGCAACTCAAAGAATAAGATAGAAATAATCACACAAAGCATTCAAATAAACAAAACAGTTTTTTACCTGGATTTGAAAACTGTCAGAGAAGAAGCCTGTCTCACCTCTTCAGGAAGACTATTCCAGATCTTAGCTAAAAGAATCTGAATTGCAGCCTCCCCATGTTTAGTTCTGACTCTGTGCACCAGCAGGAGTTGTTTCATATGGGACTAACATGTCACAGATGCCAGTGCGAGAGTAAAACAGCCCCCTCGTCCTGGTTTATAATACCGGAGGCACATTTTAGTTCTCATTAACAGTGGTCGGAGATGGCCCAGTCCATAATGTGCTTCTCTTTCACACAGAACCTGAGCTATTATCAACCAGAAAACACGTATTACATATAAATTAAGATCTAGTCCAGAATGCTCCTCATAATGTAACCCTTGGCTCTTCTCTTATCCTCAGGCCCAGAGCTGCTGGCGTTGTACCACCTGCCTCCACCCAGGGAGCCTCTGCCTCGGGAACCTCTGCCCCCGGAGCCTCCACCCCGGGAGCCCGTCCCTCGGGAACCCCCCATGCGCTTCTACACAGTCAAAGTCCCCCTGCGGCTCCAGAGCAGCTCGGACGGAGGGGTCAGCGCTCTGGACGGGCCCTGGCTCGACCACCTGACCCAGCACTTCAGCAGCGGAGCGTCCCTGGTGCACGGACACTTCAGCCTCTTGCAGAACTCAGGTCAGGATGCAGCACAAATGTATAAAGATGGAAAATGCTAACCTGCCAGCTCAATGAAGCCCAATAGGGAAGTTCTCACTATAACGCGGATCACCTTTCGGCGGCCTTGCTGTTTCACAGTTATTGGTGTGCAAAGTGCTTCTCATGTGGCACAAGTATAATCCAACAATATCATATAACCACTAGTATTACATGACAGTTACTTTTATGTAAAATCGGAAGCAAACTTGTGGTACTCTGGTCTCTTTCTTTTCTCTCCCTCATGTATCCTTCTCTGGTCTCTCTTGTAACTCTTTGGTCTCTCTAGTTGGTCTCTCTCTAGTCTCTCTTGTCTCTGCCTGGTCTCTCTCTCTCCCTCTGGTCTCTCTTGTTTCTCTCGTTGGTCTCTCTATGGTCTCTCTCTTTCTTTGGTCTCTCTATGTCAGGGGTCATCAACTATATTTATCAGAGGGCCAGAGTTTTACCAGACAGTCATCTCGGGGGTCAGACCCCCAAAGTGAGAATTAAATCAGATTCAGAATAATTTATCTGCCATTTGCAGTGAAACCACATTGTAATGCATCCGCCCCAGTGTGCACAAGTAAATAAATAAAATAAGGTTGAAAGTACAGAAATAAAACAAACAAAACTGGAATCAATTGACACTGACATTGATCAACTAAAACAGTTTCAACTCAAAGGCAAGATCATTTAAAATGCTCTGTTCAAACTGATAACAGCTTGTGTAAAGAAGTTGTAAGCAAAATGAGATATTTCCTGCCTCTCAGCAAACAATGTATTCTGCCAGAGGGAAGAAGCTGACAGAAGAGGGAAGAGGAGAATGACAGAGAAAATAAAGATAGTAATAAAGAACAAAAATGAGTGAAAAGTAAACATTTATTCTCACAATTTTGGGAAACAGTTGCACTGGCCGCGAGTTGATGATCAGTGCTCTATGTTCTCTCTCTGGTCTCTCTAATAATAATAATAATAATAATGCATCGGTTTTATATAGCGCTTTTTTGGACACTCAAAGACGCTTCACATGTGTAATTATTCATTCACTCCATACACGGTGGTGATAAGCTACTACTGTAGCCACAGCTGCCCTGGGGCACACTGACAGAAGCGAGGCAACCAGTATGTGCCATCGGCCCCTCCGACCACCACCAACCATTCACACACACACCAGACTCATTCTAGGCAATGGGGGTGAAGTGTCTTGCCTAAGGACACAACGGCAGTTTGGCACTTTACAGCCGCAGCCGCCCCACTGTGGCTGGTGTTCCCAGAGGTTAAGTGTCTTGCCAAGGACTCTCTGGTCCCTCCCTTCATAAACAGGGTCGCACCAACAATAGATCCCATGTTGAAGTATGATTTGGAAAAGAAAATCCATCATAGAAGCAGAACATCGTAAGTAAAAAGAGGAGCCAAGGGGCAAAAAATCAACCTCAAAACAAAGTTGAGTGTGTAATTGACAGGGACGACAGTGGAAGTGTGTGTGAGATCCCGGTATGTGCGGTGCATCAGTGTAAGTGTGTGTGAGGTCCTTGTATGTGCGGTGCATCAGTGGAAGTGTGTGTGAGGTCCTTGTATGTGCGGTGCATCAGTGGAAGTGCGTGTGAGGTACTTGTATGTGCGGTGCATCAGTGGAAGTGTGTGTGAGGTCCTTGTATGTGCGGTGCATCAGTGGAAGTGTGTGTGAGGTCCTTGTATGTGCGGTGCATCAGTGGAAGTTTGTGTGTGTGTGTGAGGTCCCTGTATGTGCGGTGCATCAGTGGAAGTGTGTGTGAGGTCCCTGTATGTGCGGTGCATCAGTGGAAGTGTGTGTGAGGTCCCTGTATGTGCGGTGCATCAGTGGAAGTGTGTGTAAAGTGAGTAAACACTGGTGATCAGCGATGCAGGACGGAGCTCAGGACTCGCCTCATTGCGCGCGCCGATAATTGCACTGATTACAGATTAGGACTGTTTTTGCGTGTGTGTGTTTGTTTTGGTGTGCGTGTGTGTGTTTGTGTGTGTGTTTGTGTGTGCGTGTGTGTCCCTTGGGGCGGGACCCAGATTCAGAAACTATCTGTTCTGGAGATAAAGCTTTTCCAATGTCTCTGGTCTCGCTCTTCTCTTTCTGTTCTTTCTCTAGTCCCTCTGGTCTTTCTCTCTGGTCTCTCTCAGGGCTCTCTCTGGTATCTAGTCTCTCTCTCTGATCCCTCTCTGGTCTCTCTCAGGGCTCTCTCTCTTTGATCTCTCTGGTCTTTCTCTGCTCCCCCTCGTCTCCCTCTGATCTCTCTCCCTGATATCTCTCTGGTCTTTTTCTGCTTCCTCTCTGGTCTCTCTCTTTCTGGTCTCTCGCTGGTCTCTTTCTCTGATACCTCTCAGGTCTGTCTCGTTTCTCTCTGATCTCTCTCTGGTCTTTTTCTGCTCCCTCTCAGGTCTCTCTCTGATATCTCTCCCTAATCTTTCTCTCTGGTCCCTCTTTGGTCTCTCTCTCTCTCTGATCCCTCTCCCTAATCTCTCTCTGTGGTCCCTCTCTGCCCATGCACACACCCTTTATGAACACTTTCCCTAATATAACACCTTCCTCACATGCAAATAAAAACATAAAACATCACTATGCTCAGTTTTTTTGTAATTTTCCAGTTATTTCAGTGTCGTCTCTTGGAGCCTGGCTGTACGCAGCACCAGCACATTTGCATTTCCCTCTTATGCAAATGCCGTAGATTGGAGTTAATTGTGCACGTCGCTGTGAGCCTCTGAAGTCTAAACACATTATTTGATTTACGATCTGATCTGATCACTACTGAATGTCAAGCTTCACAATTACCACGAGGTTATTACCACTGAGCGGAGGCAAAAACCGTGACCTTGTCTTTTTGCGGTAATTTACACAGAAATAAAAGCAAACTGTTTTCGAGGCTGTTGCTCACATGTGGCTCCAGTGAAGAGGGTTCTAAAACTACACATAAGTCACACGAGAGAGACAATACTTTGAATAGTGACAACGTTAGGAGCCGTGATAGGGTGAGTGAAGCTCTTTGGGCTGTTGCAAGTGCTGTTCTTTCCTTCATAAAGTTGTCCTTGTTAAAAAAAAAAAAAACATTTTGGAAAATATTTCTTCATGTGAATGAGAAAGTCATAATGTGATTCTTTCTGGTGTCTCTCTAGTTCTCTCCGGTCTCTCTCTGGTCTGCTTCTCTAGTCTCTCTCTGGTCTCACTCTGGTTTGGTCTCGCTCTCTGCTTTGTCACTATGGTCTCTCTCTTGTCTCTCTGGTCTCTCTTTCTCCTCTCTCACACTGGTCTCTTTCTGATGTCTGTCTCTGCTCTCTCTTGCTGGTCTATTTCTCTGTCTCCCTGACCTCTCTTAATATCATAATGTTATATTTGTGTTTGTTTGTGTCACAGATGTTGGTCCCAAAGCTGTGGAGAGCGTGTTCATCTTCCAGGAGCCCGCTGAAGCCGAGGCCACAGTTCAGGCCTTTGATGCCATCGTGGTGGAACAGTGGACCGTCATCCATGTAAGAGTGACAGAGTACACACAGTAACAGAGTACACGCAGTAACAGAGTACACACAGTAACAGAGTAACAGGGTGCACAGAGCAGTGGACCATGAATGACTGTCACTTGCAAAGTACTAAGCAAGTGGTCTCTCTCTGGTATCTATCTGGTCCCTGTCTGGTCTCTCTGGTATCTCATGGTCTTTCTCTCTGGTCTTTCTCCCTGGTCCTTCTCTCTGTTTCCTCTCTGGTCTTGCTCTCTTGTATCTCTCTCTGGTCTCTCTCTGGTCACTCTCCGGTCCTTCTCTCTGGTCTCTCTCTGGCCTCTCTCTGGTCTATCTCTCTGGTCTATCTCTCTGGTCTCTCTCGCTGGTCTCACTCTGGTCTCACTCTGGTCTCTCCCTTGCCTCTCTCTGGCCTCTGTCTGGTCCCTCTCTGGCCTCTCTCTGGTCTTTCTCTCTGGTCTCCCTTTGGTCTCTCTCTGGTCCCTCTCTGGTCCCTCTCTGGTCCCTCTCTGGTCTCTCCCTGGTCTCACTCTGGTGTCTCTCTGGTCCCTCTCTGGCCCCTTTCTGGTCTTTCTCTCTGGTCTCCCTTTGGTCTCTCTCTGGTCCCTCTCTGGTCCCTCTCTGGTCTCTCTCTGGTCCCTCTCTGGTCTCTCCCTGGTCTCACTCTGGTGTCTCTCTGGTCATCTGGTCTGATGTGACCGTGCTTCTGTCTCAGGGTCTGCAGGTGAAGGCGGACTACGTTCCTCTGCTTCAGTCCTTGGCCTCGTTCGGCTGGAGACTGACGTGTGTGCTGCCCACCCCCGTCGTCAGGAGCAACAGGTACCGCCCACAAAGCCCTGCCGTGATCTATTCAACATGGTGCACGTAGGAACATCCATCCATCCATCCATTTTCTGCCCCTTAATTAATTCAATTCCATTTATTTTTGTATTGCCCAACATCACAACAGCAGTCGTCTCAGAGAACTTCACAAAGTTGTCGATTATCAAATACAGATCAGAGAATCAAACAGTTCAAACACAAGAAATGCAACAATAAAATACACACAGAGCCATTTATTCATAAGTCTTACAGTCTTACAGCCAAGGAAATACAGATCTGAATTTCTCCTTCGGGGGATCAATAAAGTATCTATCTATCTATCTCTGAAAACAAAAACCTGTTGCTACGGTTACCCCTCTGCTCTGATTGGCCACAGTGTCATGCAGAGGTCCTCAGGATGTCCCACAGAGTCCACACTTCTCCCCATCACAGAAACACATTTCCAGATCAGTCTGTCGAGCAGGTTTCTGTCTCTCGAGGTCAGACTGCCGCCAACACACAACTCCGAAGAACACACAACTCCAAAGAACACACAACTCCAAAGAACACAGCACGAGCTACAGACTGGTCAAATATGTGCAACATCTGAAGCGCACATCAAAGACCTCAGAGAAGAGTCTGCTCTGACCTTTCTTACTCACAGCGTTGACCATATGTTTCTTTTTTTATAATATTGTGTCTCATATGTCACTATCACACAGGCACCAGGTGTGTTGAGGAGAGAGAGCTTTGGTTACAAGTATTTAGGCTTTAACTTCAGACAATAGGGTTAGGGACATCAGGGACATTTATTAACATTTATGGACAGTGCAAAAAGACACACACAGTCACACACACACACACACAGGGCTTGAAACCCTTCTCCTCCCTGTCCCGTGGAGCTGCTGTCGACCGTTAAGTAGATGCCCTCACATCAGTCAGCTGTGAGGGCCCCCAGGAGCCGCTCTCTGCCCCCACGCATCAGCTCTGTGTGGCTCAAGCACAGGATAAAGGGCTTCTCTGCTGCTTTCATAAAACTGTGTGAGACAAATTGATCTGAGGCAGAAACAGGAGCAGACGAGCGTGACCACAGAAGCCAGGGCCAGACCTGTGTTCAGATGGACAATGCTAACCCGCTAGCTCTATGAAGCCCCATAGGGAAGTGCTCATGGTGAAGTTTTGCTCCAACTCTCTCTGGCTCCTATTGACTTACATGTAAAAGTAAAGTCCTCTAGCTCAGTAACAGTTTGTGTTACCCTCACCCTTTTAGCCTTAATAATTGGTGGTTTAGCGCTCTCTGTGATCCCGGTGTTTATATTGTGATATTGTCTTTGTGAATCCAGATATGAGCAATATAAGGATTGACCAATCAGATGCCTTCATTTGCGGGAGAAACTGTAAGGATGACGCTTGTTGCTGAGTTTCCTCTGCCACAGCTGTGATTGCAGCCGCTGTTTCTATATGCACTCAGACATACACACACACACACACACACACACACACACACACACACACACACACGCACACACACACAGACACATGCACACACACACACACATAAACACATAGAGAGACACAGACACACATAAACACACACATGCAAACACACAAAGATAGAGACACACACACAACACACATAGACACAGAGACACATAAACACACACATAGAGACACACACACACAGACACATACACACACATAGACAGACACAGAGACACATTAACACACACACATGCATACACACACACAGACACACACATAAACACAAAGAGACACAGAGACACTGTAGATAGACACAGAGACACATAAAGAAACACACATGCATACACACACATAAAGAGACACACACACACGCAGAGTCAGACACAGACAGACAGACGAATATACAGACACACAATCACAGCGAGACACATGCAGAGACAGACACACATACAAACACATACAAACACACACACACACCACATACACAGACACACACTCAGACAGAAAGACAGATATTATTATTGTTATTATCTTTATTTGTCAGACTCAAATACAAACACATCATCACAAACACAGTAAACTAACTAACCAGAGCTTCCACAGAGCTGACTGGTCACACACAGCACTAATACTGGGGTTCACCAGAGAATGTACAAAAGAGTTCACACGAGTCTGACATAAAAGCAGACCACTGGACCTGCGCTTTTTCAGAATACAATACAATACAATTTATTCTTGTATAGCCCTAGGTCACAACAGAAGTCATCTCAGAGACTTAACAAAACCATTGAAATCACCAACACAGGTCAGAGAATCAACAGTTAAAACACATGAAGAATATAAAGCACACACAGAAGAAAATGTCCATACATGTTGTAGAATGCTAAAGTGTCCTGATCATCACCAATCCTTTCTGTTGGACACTAACTGTCCAACAAGACCCTCCTGCATCCACAAGGAACAACTCTTAAAAAACCCAGTGGGAAAAAGTGAGGAAGCTTGGGGAGAACTAGGGAAACCCACAGGGAGGGAGACCCATTTGAGAAAGGCAGGTGTAGATGGAGGAGGCCAGGCTCAGAGATCCCGTCATTGTACCATGAAACAGACAATGGGACAACGGGTGAATAGCAATGAACAAACTACAGTCAAAATCCTAAAAATGCTAAACAGATAAAGTAGGAAGGAGGAGAGGATAGTGCTCAAGTTACCATACTTCTCCAGCAGGGGGCTCCCTATGCAGCTTGACTGATCCTGAAAGCATCATTATAGGCACCTGTGAGCTTCTGTAGTGCAGCCTTCTTCTATCTGCACCACTGTGGGGCGCTATACACATGGATAGACACACACAACCACAGAGAGATACACACAGAGACACACACTCAGACACACACACACACTCAGACCAAAGACAAACATCACCGGTGCAAACACACAAATGCTATCGCTGTATTTCAGTTTTAGACCTTCTCTCCACGTTTGACCAGTATTACATGAACGGTTTTATGTCGCCCTAATAAGAAATAATAATAATAATAAACAAAAAATGACAATTGATGATTGTGTTTGTCCACAGTGACGGCAGCCTGTCCACCAAACAGATCGTGTTTCTGCAGAGACCGGTGCAGAGCCGCAAGAAGAAGGACTCAAAGGTACAAGTGACTCAGGTTTTTATCTCACACTGTTCACACACCCAGGCGCTTCACATGGAATTACTCTGCTCCCTGGGTCAGACCTGGTTTGGACCTGGTTTAGACCGTGTTCAGACCTTGTTCAGACCTTGTCCAGCCCTGTTCTACATGTTTACTTTTGGTTCAAAGCTGGTCCAGCACAGTTTAAATCCTAGTTAAGACCTGGTTCAGAGCTGGTCAAATCCTACTTTAGACCTGGTTTAGACCTGGTTTAGACCTGGTTCAGAGCTGGTCAAATCCTACTTTAGACCTGGTTTAGACCTGGTTTAGACCTGGTTCAGAGCTGGTCAAATCCTACTTTAGACCTGGTTTAGACCTGGTTTAGACCTGGTTCAGGGCTGGTCTTGTCCTGGTTTATACCGTTCAGAACCCATCACTGCCTGATGTATGAGCAGCTGTCATGGCTCTCTCTGTCCTCCAGACGTCAGCTACATTGGCTACTGTTTATTTTCAAATGCATTAATCTCAGTTTTCCAGAATATTTAAAACAATATCTGATTCCTTTCCAATCCTCGCACAGTTTGCGTCATGCAAATCAGTCTTTTTTTGTAGTTCCAAGAGTGAATAAAGAAGCTGGAAAACATGCATTTAAATTTAAAGCTCCGTCTGACTGGAACAGTTTGCCGTTGTCTATTCGCTCTCTAACTTCTCTGCCTCTGTTAAAATCTGCTTTGATACAATATCTCCGGTATTCATGTCAATGTTTTGATCTTAGTTTATGAGACCTAAACTTGTCTTGTCTCCCGATTATTGTTATTACCATCAATATTAATAGTATTATCCATATTTTGTGTAACATCAGTACAGTCACGATGTGTGTGTGTGTGTGTGTGTGAGTGATTGTGTGTGTATTTGTTATGGTTGCTTTGTTATTTTTTTTATTTTTTTATTATTATTATTTGTGTTGTGTTTTATTTTTTATTTTTATGATTTTCTTTTGTCTTATTTGCATCTGTTTTGCTGTATCTGTCCTTGTGAAATCTTGAGGACCCCCTCGAAAACGAGATGATTCATCTCAAGGGGCTTATCCTCTAAATAAATAAATAAATAAAAAATACCTGGTTCAGGGCTGGTCTCATCCTAGTCTAGACCTGGTTCAGGACTGGTGTTGTCCTGGTTTAGACCTGGTTCAGGACTGCTCTCGTCCTGGTTTAGACCTGGTTCAGGACTGGTGTTGTCCTGGTTTAGACCTGGTTCAGGACTGGTGTTGTCCTGGTTTAGACCTGGTTCAGGACTGGTGTTGTCCTGGTTTAGACCTGGTTCAGGACTGCTCTCGTCCTGGTTTAGACCTGGTTCAGGACTGGTGTTGTCCTGGTTTAGACCTGGTTCAGGACTGGTGTTGTCCTGGTTTAGACCTGGTTCAGGACTGCTCTCGTCCTGGTTTAGACCTGGTTCAGGACTGCTCTCGTCCTGGTTTAGACCTGGTTCAGGACTGGTGTTGTCCTGGTTTAGACCTGGTTCAGGACTGCTCTCGTCCTGGTTTAGACCTGGTTCAGGACTGGTGTTGTCCTGGTTTAGACTTGGTTCAGAGCTTCTCACGTCCTGGTTTAGACCTGGTTCAGGACTGGTCTCGCCTACTCCTACAGATTCTTTATAATCTTCCTTCTAGACTTGGGCCTAAATCATCTCCTTTTCGTTTGGCGCACCAGGAGACCAGAGGAGACGACCCTTTCTAGTTCCATGTTTTGATCCTGATTCTAATTCAATCTATTTAAATCCGGTCCCTGTGCCGCAGACGCACACAGCTCCCCTCAGCGCTCTCACACGCTCACGATAATCCTTCACTTTTGCAGAAGCTGATCTTCAAAGCCAGGAGCAAATCCAACAAGAACTGCATCAAAGACTCCGTCAAGAGCAAGAAGAGAAGCAAGAAGGAAGCGGACGAGGCCAACGGCAGGACCACAGAGCGCAACACGGACCACACCAACCGATGTAGCGCAGAGACACAAGACGTTGGAGAACCAGAAGAACCACGAGAACAACCAGGAGAACCAGGAGGAGAACCAGGAGAACCAGGGGACATGTCCACAGCCGAGGTGCAGGCAGAGACCAAAGAGGTGGTGGAAACAGGGCTGGAGACCGAACCAGAGGAACCATCAGCCGAAAACGAGATTATCACAAAAGAGACTGAAGGGGAGAGCAACCAGAGCGCATAGAGCTGTTTGAGGGGCTACAGAGAGAGCGGGTCAGACCTGGTCCAATCCAGTTTCAGTCCTGGTCTAATCCTGGTTCAGACCTGGTCCAGCCCCGTTTTAGTTCTAGTTTAGAGCTGTTTCAGACCTGGTTCAGCACTGGTCTCGTCCTGGTTTAGACTTAGTTTAGGGCTGGTTTCGTCCTGAAGCAGCTGTACCAGTCTTGGTTCAGACCTGGTCTAGTCCTGGTTCAGACCTGGTCCAGCCCAGTTTTAGTCCTGTTTTAGATCTTTGTCAGACATGTCCAAAGCTATTGTTGTTATAGTCCTGGTTTAGACCTGGTCCAGCCCAGTTTTAGTTCTATTTGAGACCTGTTTCAGAGCTGGACTGGTCTTGTTTTACTGTAGACCTGGGTCAGACCTGGTCCAGAAGAGACTCACTGGGGGATCGAATTTTCTGACCGTGAAGATTGAACCACGCCCTTGTTCATATACAGAGTGCAGTGCTGCTCTCTCTCTGACCTCACACAGCTCTATGGCGCCCCCTACATCTGAGAGCACGGCTGTGTCCGGACGTTTTAGTCATGTCCAAAAAGTCCACTCAAAGTCGCAAATTAAAGAAGAAATATGATGCTTAATTTTTGGCCTTTAAAAAACGATAATGATACAGTTTACTTTGTTATTTCATGTTTTAGAAAGTGACATAATGTCTTCAGCAGAGAATGTGGCGATGAGGGATGGAAAATGCTTCTGCCTGTAACTCCCTCTGCTGCCACCAGAGAGCGGAGAATCTAGTCTCTCTCTCGCTCTCCTCTCTGATCTTTCTTTCTTTCTTTCGGGTCTCTCTCTTGTCTTTCTCTCTGCTGTCTCTAATTGGTCTCTCTCTGGTCACTCGCTATCTCTGGTCTCTCTGATCTCTTTCTCTGGTCTCTCTGGTCTCTCTGGTCTCTCTGGTCTCTCTGGTCTCTTTCTCTGGTCTCTCTCGTCTCTCTCTCTGATCTCTTTCTCTGGTCTCTCTAGTCTCTCTCTCTCTCTGATCTCTCTGGTCCCTCTGATCTCTTTCTCTGATCTCTCTAGTCTCTCTCTCTCTGATCTCTCTGGTCTCTCTCTCTCTGGTCCCTCTGATCTCTTTCTCTGGTCTCTTGCAAATACTCCTCCCCCTGGTGGCAGCATAGGGAATTACAATCATAACGCATTGTTAACCCTTCATACTTGATATTTAGACAATACCGTGTATTGTCTAAATATCATTCCATATTCTAAAACATGAAATGCCTGATAGTAACCTAGACACAGCCGTACACTGGCGCCCCCTGGTGTAAGAACATGTCATTAAACTGGATGTATTTTAAAATGCTTATTTTCCGATGTAAATGACCTGTTTGTGCCGAGCTGACAAAGTGCTGGTTAGTCCACAGCTCCTGTTCATCTGATCCTAATATATATACCTATTTTTTTCTTTTCTACTTTGGGAATTTTGTTAAAGTTATATGCACATTATGAATATACTGCAAAACACATTTAAAGCAGAAATGTTGTGAAATAGGTTGCGTTCATGTTGTAGAATTATATTTCTAAACTCTACTGGAGAGAGAAAAAAAATATAGCATAAGATCATTCTTTGATAGTGATTAGATTCATAAAGCTGCCATTTTATTCTTATGGTCTCTCTCTCTCTCTGGACTATCTGTCAGGACTCTCTATAGTCTCTGGTTTTTCTGGTCTTTGTCGTGATTCATGAAGCTAATTTTCACTAGTGCTTTGTAAAGGCTCTCAATGTGAAATTACTACTAGGTTATGATCTAAAAGTAACACATAATAACTGAAATAAATCCTTGAAGTAGCTGCTGCAGCTGTCAAAAGATGTTCATAAACTGTATAATACAGCTGCAGAAGACACTGTGCTGAAGGGTAGGAGCAAGACTGAGGGCTATGAGAAAACCAGAGACCAGAGAGACCAGAGAGAGACCAGAGAGAGACCAGAGAGAGATCAAAGCGAGATCAGAGAGAGACCAGAGAGAGACCAGAGAGAGACCAGAGAGAGACCAGAGAGAGATCAAAGAGAGATCAGAGAAAGACCAGAGAGAGACCAGAGAGAGACCAGAGAGAGATCAAAGAGAGATCAGAGAGAGACCAGAGAGAGACCAGAGAGAGACCAGAGAGAGACCAGAGAGAGATCAGAGAGAGACCAGAGAGAGACCAGAGAGAGATCAGAGAGAGACCAGAGAGAGACCAGAGAGAGACCAGAGAGACAAGAGAGAGGCCAGAGAGAGACCAGAGAGACTAGAGAGGCCAGAGATCAGAGAGAGACCAGAGAGAGGCCAGAGAGAGACCAGAGAGAGGCCAGAGAGAGACCAGAGAGAGACCAGAGAGAGACCAGAGAGAGACCAGAGAGACTAGAGAGGCCAGAGATCAGAGAGACCAGAGAGAGACCAGAGAGAGACCAGAGAGACAAGAGAGAGGCCAGAGAGAGACCAGAGAGACTAGAGAGGCCAGAGATCAGAGAGAGACCAGAGAGAGGCCAGAGAGAGACCAGAAAGAGGCAAGAGAGAGACCAGAGAGAGGCCAGAGAGAGACCAGAGAGAGACCAGAGAGAGACCAGAGAGGCTAGAGAGGCCAGAGATCAGAGAGAGACCAGAGAGAGGCCAGAGAGAGACCAGAGAGAGACCAGAGAGAGGCCAGAGAGAGGCCAGAGAGAGACCAGAGAGAGACTAGAGAGAGACCAGAGAGAGACCAGAGAGAGAGACTAGAGATCAGAGAGAGACCAGAGAGAGGCCAGAGAGAGGCCAGAGAGAGACCAGAGAGAGACCAGAGAGAGACCAGAGAGAGAGACCAGAGAGAGACCAGAGAGAGACCAGAGAGGCTAGAGAGGCCAGAGATCAGAGAGAGACCAGAGAGAGGCCAGAGAGAGACCAGAGAGAGACCAGAGAGAGGCCAGAGAGAGGCCAGAGAGAGACCAGAGAGAGACCAGAGAGAGGCCAGAGAGAGACCAGAGAGAGACCAGAGAGAGGCCAGAGAGAGGCCAGAGAGAGACCAGAGAGAGACCAGAGAGAGACCAGAGAGAGACCAGAGAGACTCGAGAGGCCAGAGATCAGAGAGAGGCCAGAGAGAGACTAGAGAGAGAGAGACCAAAGAGACCAGAGACAGACGGGAGAGAAAGAGGCCATAGAGCCAGAGAGGGAACGGAGAGAGACCAGAGAGAGAGAGTAGAGAGAATGAGACCATAGCGCCAGCCCAGAGAGAGACCAGAGAGAGACCAGAGAGGCCAGGTTACATGATATCGCTGGAGTACACACACAGTGAGGCTGCAAAAGGTGGGACCACTGAATAATCTCTTTGGAATGTGGTGATGTCACATGAACGCAGCCTGTTACTTTTTTGTAGTGTAATGTCAAAAAACCAGAGCAAAACCTACAAACTGTTACTTTGAAAATATGACATTAGAAAGTGAATAACGCCTTGGATTTTTCAGGTTGCTCCGAACTGGACTCAGTGAATGCATCGGTCCTGATCAGGGTCCGCTACAAGTGAATGTCCGGAATACTGGGTTCTGTTTTAGGCGATAATCGAAGCGAAAGGCAATCTGAGAGAAAGGAGTTTACAAGCTGCCAATCCAATTACACGATTTCTAATGTGGCAGAAGTTATTATTATTGGTCAGATACAATACCTGCTCAAGAGGTAGGAGCATTTTGAATTTTGTTTCTCATCAATTGTATTATTATTTACACATTATATACAAAGCATTGCAAAAATATGATTACACCATTAACCCTGGCATGTTTTCTCTTGTTACAACCACAGACATAAAGATTGTATGTTTAATATTTGACTATAAGACCGCAAAAAAGTAACAGACGACTGTGAAGTTAGAGAAGTATTTTTGCAGAAGTATTCGTACATCATGACTTCATATTTACACCAGGACCTGTATTTTTCTCATTCCACCTTTAACTCGGTATTGCCCCCCATCATCCCTTGAGAGATTCAGAGTGAGCTTTCGATTCGAGCACCGATCCACAACAAACACAGCCATCCACTGCGGGATACGATATAGGAACAAAGTGAACTCCACCCGAGTGAACAGGGCAGTCCCATGGGCTCCGAGGCGGAAGCCGTGGACAATCAGCTACTGCCCAGTGTCTCCAGCGCTCAGCTAATGTACTGCACCGTTTCTATGTCTCCACAAGCTCCGTGGAGACGCATCCAACGACGGACTGATTTGTGCATGTGCTGAAGAGAAGCAGCCCCACAGCATGATACTGCCACACCCACATTTGACACTAGAGGTGGTGCACTGAGTATGATGAGCTAACCAAGTTGTTAGTTTTGAGCCGGATGTGTACTGTATGTGGCTGGAAGGTGGAGTGAGAAAAATACAAGACAATCCTGGAAGAGAAACTGCTCAGGCCGGGGATTCCACAAATGATCAACTGTGTATGAATACCTGTTGTTTATAAATTAACAAAAATCATGTATCATTTTTCTTTCACTGCACAGTTGTCTGTCTTTTTCAGTAAAATATTAAAGATAAAACCTTTGTGTTTGTGGCTGTAACGTGACAAAATGTGCAAGAGTTGAAAGTGTATTCATACTTTTGCAAGCCGCTGGAGGTCAAACTGCCTCCAGCTGTTTCCACCATTCACTTCCATAGGATTCAGTTAATCCCACCTGTCGCACTAACATGTTGATTTGAAAGACATTAGAAAGTACTAAATCTACACTTCTCTATAGTTGATTTTAGAATTCACTTTTTCATCATACTTTTAAAACATCCACATCATGAGTTTGAAGCACAGATTGTGTAAACGTGCCCGGCTATCCTGTGGGTAAAAATAACCGCTGCTTTTTGTACGGCTTTTAACAGAATAAGCGCTTTCTTTGGTAAAAATTCTCGCGCAGAAACCTCATAGCAACCATAGAGCCAATCACAAGTGAGCCTTTTCTCCTGAGTCAGTTTTTACAGTTCATATACAAAAATCAGGATCAAAGTCTGTAGGTAACAGAATTTCACCCATAGCCTGAT